TCCGTCCACCCCTTCTTTCTTCTTCATTCTTGCTTTATATAGTGGGCATGACATCACATGGTACGGAATATCTCTTTGGCCAGCCTGGGTCAGCTGTCCTGGCTGTGTCCCATCCCAGCTTCCTGTGCAACCCCAGCTTTCTTGCTGGCAGGCCAGCACGAGAAGCTGGACTGTCCTTGACTGCTTAGAACCAACTCAAAACATCAGCACGTTATCAACATTTTCTCATCCCAAATCCAAAACATAGCCTCACACTAGCTTCTGTGAAGAAAATTAACTCTATCCCAGCTGAAACCAAGGACAGATGGCTCGATGCTTTTGAAAGACAGTTCCATTTTATTCTTCCATACTGGGGAAAATGCTGTTTAATCATCTTTCTAATATAGTCCAAGGTAGCCAAGTAATAGGTGCTACGTGTCTGCATTTCCAAATAACTGCTTTCAAGAAACACTGTGTTTCTTCTGTATCATCAAAATGTCAGGTCCACAAACTCCTCCTTGAAAGGTCCCAGGACTTTGAAAACTAAAGAAAGAAGTATCTACAGAAAAGTGCTGAGATAAGTCTCAATACAAACATGTTGTGAGCATGGACTGCTAGTCACTTAGTGATTCTGTGCCTGTCAAAACACAACAGATTAACATGCTTTCAGTTTACCCCACAATGAAAGATGGGACTTTTGTCTCTCAGTGCAAATCTGTGTCATAAAATAATCCCTGGCACCTCTGTGGTAGACTGACCTCATGAGAAGCAGAAATGGCAGACACAGCACACAATAATAAAAACTGGTGTGCTGGTTTATTGTTAGTATTCAAGACAAGGGCACAGAAAAAAAAACCCTTGCACTGAAATGCAAACGCATCCATAGTTCTTAAGGTTTTATTCTGCCATCAGTAACAGGCACAATAAAATACCTTCTAAAATGTTATTTATAGTCATAGAATCATAGAATCACAGAATAGTTTGGGTTGGAAAGGATGTTTTAAAGGTCATCTAGTCCAACCCCCCTGCAGTGAGCAGGGACCTTTTCAATTAGATCAGGTTGCTCAGAGACCTATCCAACCTGCCCTTGAATGTTTCCACAGATGGGCACCTACCACCTCTCTGGGCAACCTGTGCTGGTGTTTCATCACCCTCATTGTGAAAAATTTCTTCCTTAGATCTAGTCTAAATCTACCCTCCTTTAGTTTAAAACCGTTACCCCTTGACCTATCACAACAGGTCCTGCTAAAAAGTCTGTCCCCGTCTTTCTTACAGGCCCCCTTTAAGTACTAGATGGCTGCAATTAGGTCTCCCTGGAGCCTTCTCTTCTCCAGGCTGAACAACCCCAACTCGCGCAGCCTGTCCTCAGAGGAGAGGTGCTCCATCCCTCTGATCATTTCTGTGGCCCTCCTTTGGAACCTCTCCAACAGGTCCATGTCTTCCCTGTGCTGAGGGCTCCAGAGCTGGATGCAGTACTCCAGGTGGGGTCTCATCAGAATGGTCCAATCCTTTAGTTCTATTGCAACAGATGTGATACTTGCTCTCATTTTCTTCCTGGGGACATAGCCAAATCGGATTTCCTGCAGATTGATTTTAAATTGTGCTGCTTTTTACTGGATGTAACTGAAAGAGAACTGATCTTCAAGAAATGTCCAAATGGTCCAGTCAGAGTGGACCACTTACGGAGTACAGGTATGTGGGAGTACAACAATCAAACGGGCAGAAAGATACAACCTCATATCCATGCTGAACAAGATAGGGATGAAAGATGGTTTTAAAAAAAAGTCAAAATTACTTCATCAGTATGCCAGTGGAAAATGAGTGGTTTTATCAAAAGACTTTTTATGGTCATTTGTCAGAAGTCAATCCACTTGAGGTCAACAGGTCAGGTGGTGTGATGGTGTGAAACCTTGTTTCTACCATTCTGATTGCAGCAATTCACTATTTCCTCTCACTATTTCCATCTGGCACAGCAAAACGAAGAGCACCACTTCTTTGGCCAATTTGGTCCCCTTTGAAACTCCACTCTTTCTTACTAAACAGGATCTTGCAGCAGCTGGAATATACCACAAAGAGTGTCTACACAGTTTGGGTACCCTTTCTTAATTTTCCTGTATTTTTGGCCAATCTTTGTAGCTTGTAGTATCACTACCTGTTGTTGGGGTTCTTTTTCTTCTATTCATTTAGATAAAAAATAGACAACAGCAGTTTCAGATACATAGCCAAAGTAAGTACATAACCAAACATAATAGTGCCTAATACATTACTGAAGTAAGAAAATAAGATGGATATTCCAGGCACAAAAAGTGCACACACTTAAAAACAAAATGTGTGGAAAAAAAAGGCACATATATCAGTCTTGAAACCTTGTATGGCATATGTACCAGTCAGAATCGAAGTGAATGTAAGCACAAAAATGTAATTCTAGTTCAAAATATGGACTTGTAGACTTTATAATGATGCTTTTTCTGTATCAGTTGACTGCAGGTTGGTAATTGGTTTACTCTGCATGTGTCAGACTAGTGGGCAAAGGCCGTTCTTAACTAACCATAACTGTAGCAGAAAAGACATATAATGATCACAAAGGAAATTTATCAATGCAGTTTAAGTCACACAAGTATTCAAATCCTTCCCCTCTCAAATTTAACCAGATAATGAATGAGACAGACTATTTCAATATTCACTTTTAGCCATATATTTGAGATAAGTTTCTATTAATTTTGCCAGTTTGTAGATTAAAAAGAAAAGGAAGCTGCAAAATTACTTCAGCGTGTCCCTTGTTAACACATGGTGGCTGAATTCTTTTCTGTAATTCCTACACTTTTGCAGGCCAAATGCCAAAGTTCTCACCTGGGGGAGAAAGGCATACTGGCCCTCACGTTTCAGGACATATACTCACTAACAATGGCCTTAAATTCAGGAGGTCTCTGTCTCTCTAAGTTCTGAAAGCCAGTGATAGAGGAGAAGTAGGGATAAATGAGGGAACGTGCACACTAATACAAGAAGAGGATGTAGAGAAGAAAAGGGAGGTGCAAACATTTCTACATTTCCATAAGTATTCATTGCCTCACAGACCGACACAGATCCTGACTGAAGACAGATCTTAACTCTTCTCTTACTCAGGACTTCAGGTAGTGTAAATATTCGTATCAAAATAACTAGCTTTACTTTGGAAGTCTTAAAAATTCACATTAAATTCTCTGCAACTGAGCGGTTAAATGATGGCATAAAAGTCACACAGGGGAAGGGAGTGCTCATTTTTTAGTACAAAGTGTAGCCCTTAGGAAAACCCTGTGCCAAGGCACAGTGGTCAGAATGCAAGCCTAGGTTGGGCAAAACCTATGCAGCCTGGGAGGGCAGAAAGTTTCCTCCCCTGTAGGATGAGTGCCTTAATCACCAGGCTACCAGTCGATTTAGGACCAGAGGACTGAGAGGAGGCTACAGGAGAGAATACCCTCCTACTGATCCTGGAATTGAACGCATAAGACAGCATGTGTCTGTAGCACAGTGTTTTGGATGCTCAGTGTAGGGCGCATTGGTTCAAGCTTCTGCTTTACTAATATCAAATAACTACTGGATCAGGCGTCCAGACTTTTCCTTTCCCAGATGGCCAAAGTGGCTAGAAGACCAGTGAACCTCACAGAAACACATGCATGTGCTCTCTCTGAAGCCTGAGAAATGCTTGAGTGCTCCATGCAGATTCAGTTCAGGTACTCTCTGGGAACAGGAGATGGAGATGTCAGTTTTAAATTCTGCAGGCAAAATTTCAGGCTCAGCTCAGCCCTGTTCCCTAGATATGCTCTGGGAGTATCAGCATCTCCAGGCACAGCAGCAAGAGATACCTGATTTGAAGTTCCTAAAAATGCTTAGGTACGAGCTAGACTGCAGGGCATTCACCTCTGAAGCACTCATGGGAATGCTCCATAGCAGCTGTGGAGCCCTGGGAAGCTTTGAAATCAAAACTCAAGGATCCCAGAGGATCCAGGCATCTCTAACACTGCATGGCAGCTGGCTTTGAGGACAGCAGTTTTTCATTTAAGCATGTAAATTGGGGATGAAGATAGAGTTAAATGTCCAGTTGCTTTTGTTGATCTAATGCTTAACCTTTCATGCGATGCCATCTTACACTGACTTTAGTACATGTTTTAGAAGTCCTTATACTGGTGAAGACAACGGAAATTTCTGAATTTATCCCAATATTTGTCAACAGTATTAGATTGTTCTGAAATATGCTAATAAGAAGCACAGGTTTGTTCTGGGTCTACATACAGAAAATCAGTTTGATCCTGGGGTTGGGTTTTTTGTTTGCTTTGGTTTTGTCCTGTAAAAACATACTTACAAAAAGAAGCAGAACAAGGACAGAAAATCTGCAGGTTCTGATAAGCCAGCAGAAAACCATGGAAAATTTATTATTGTTTAATATTGTTGTATGTAAGGTACAAGAGTTTACTTGAAAAACAGTGATTAACAAATCCAGCTACAGCTGCCAAATGGGGGTTTACCTACACCAAGAACATATAAAAATCTACAGATCTCTACTAGCCTTCAAGATATAGGTAGTGAATCGTATGGATTCACCATGGTTTTTTGAGCAGAAAATAATAGCATAGGAAGTCTAAAGAAATAGAAGGATGCTCAAATCAGCACAGTGAGAAATGGTTCTGTTTCACTCCCTCAGAATTGAAGAATAATGCTATGAAGCTAAGCAAATGTGTTTTTTAAACAAGTCTGGTCAGTGAAGCCATTTCTAGACAAAATCTTGCTCATCTGATGAAGAATAATAAAGAAGCTGAGGACATTGAGGAGTGATGGGGAAGGGAGAAATAATGCAGGTCTTAAAAACAGACCTAATAGCTGACTGTGCTTGGTCTCTGCGCCATATTTTACCCGTTACAGGGACAACCCCACACTGCATTTGAGAGGCTGCAGGCAATCTCCCACTAGCAGCTTTCTATTTTTTAAAAGAAGTGAAGAAGAAGTCATCACCTCTCTCTGACCCTCATTTGTCTCGGGCTGTATCAATGGAGTCTCTCTCAGTGTCAACCAACAGCTTTACTCTGGACCTTTACAAAAAGCTGAATGAAACTTCCAAAGGCCAAAACATTTTCTTTTCTCCTTGGAGTATTGCAACTGCTCTCGCCATGGTCTACCTAGGTGCAAAAGGTGACACTGCAACCCAGATGGCTGAGGTAAGCTCTGAAATTAGCAGTATATCACCTTAGAGGTGGTTCCCACATAAATTGCATTATTCTTCTGCCTGTGGGGAACAGAAGGGAACGACGTGGGAGAACAGTGACCCACCATAATGATAGGTACAGGAAATAGCCCAGCAGTCCTGCAGGTCACTGTTCTTCCACTTTATTTGCCAAGATCTCCCAGCTCTGCACTACCCCTGCCTCTAGGTTACACTTACAGTTCCCAGAGCACTGTGAGTTGTCTGCCAGAGGGAAGTTACTGACTTTAGAGACTACTGCTGGTCTTCCTCAGAACTCTACCTTCCATTTTAACTGCCTTTTGAACAGAATAATTCACCTGATATAGTGTTCAAATAGTAATAAAGAGACAGCTTTGTTAGCGAAAAAATGGAGCTAAGATAATCTACAAAAAGGAGTGCCCAGAGAGAAAATCACTGCTTCTAGACCCCAGCTGGTTCTGGAAGCAGTGTATCCGCTTTCTCATACTGCATACCAAAGTCAGTAAGCTCTCCTCAATGTGTGCTGGGCTGCACAGGAGCAGTACAAATACCTTTGCTTGTGACATAGTCCATAAATAAGGTAATCCTCCCAAGAATAATGGAGACATACTAGTACTGAAAATATGATTTCACTTATGCCAGCTTTAGCAGAACTTTTCAGTCTTGTACTCTTTTAGGCTATATGCATTTACGTAAACACACTCAATGTAGAATTTTACATTTCTGTCCCAGCAGTAAGACTCTGAAGTGCACTATGCTCTTTGTTGTGCTTGGTCATGATCTGACAATAAATTCCATGTAGCCAAGCATGAGCTGACCATTTATCTGAATAAATTTGTACTTGAGCCACAATATTGGAACTATTATTAAGCAGTAAAGGTGACTAAAATCTATATAATAATGATACCGTTATAAAGCCTAAATCAAGAGTAAGGTCTTGTCCTCAGTAACTTTTAGTAGACTAATTGTCATTGGGCATGACTGGTGAATTACCATAGAAAACGAACATAATTACATAACCCTTGGGCACATTCATCTTCCAAAAACAAGCTGTCTTTATGAACATTTATTATCATCACAGGTTCTTCATTTTAACCAGACTGCAGGAAAAGAAGGCTCATCTGAGACAACAAGGCCTTCTCTGGGGAGACCAAAGAAAAGAAAGATGGTATTTATTACAACAGAAGACTCAGAGAAAAAAAATCTCTGAGAAAGGGATGGTTCACTACAACTACTGCTTTCATCTTCTAACATTTGCTTGTCTTCAGTCTCTGTCTACTCTCTCACTTCAGTAAGAACTATATATAGAAAAAGCGAACAAGCAGATAATGTTACCATAAACTCATGAACTCAGGCCTTCAAAACCAGAACTGAGACACCAACTGCATTTTGATTGGCCCTAATACTGTGTTACTTGGTTTTAGCTGGTCTAAGGTAATATCAACAAATCTATTGCTCTAACATGCTTAGGACAGTTCTATCTCTTACAGCTTCAGTTTTGGGTTTTTTTTCTGTAATGAAAAACAACTACTGCATTCACACCTGACTCCAGCCCTACCCAGTAAACTCCCTTCCACCTTTGTCATGCATGGACACATCAGGCAAACAAAATTCCCCTTTAAGCTAATGCATGCTGATTCACTCTTGTTCATCAGCTCCCCAGAGACTTGCCACCAGAAGGAACTGCCCAGATATTTTTCATCAAAGCATTAAGCACCAAAAGGCTTGTAAACTCAAACAAGCCATGTTTCTTTAGCACGGAAACTAAAAGAAAGCTCAAAGAAACTAAATTAGATAAACTGGAAATAAAAGTGGAGAGGAAGTTATATCATTCTCTCCCTAGGTGGTGGGGGATGAATCTTCAAGATGAATCATTACACTCACATTCATTTTAGCAACTGACTGACTTTCTGAGTTGTAGCAAAGTCTGCCTAATCTGGTCCTTCAGGCATTTCCCTCCATTACCTCATCAGTCTGTTCCTGTCCCATTGCAAAACCCAACCTCTCCTATCCTGTGTCCTATGGCTACCAAATTCTTTCCCAGGTGTCCTTCCTAGCAGCCCATGTCTCAGCATGAGTGAGAAAAGACCAGAGCAAGGAATGCCACCTGACCAACCTTATGGCAAGCCACCATGAATCAGTGGCACAGACTCTCAGTGTCTCACATGCAGGGCATGGTATATGCCATGGAGGAGGAGACTGCACCCAAGCAGCTGGAAGGGAGCAGCTGACAGATCGCAGCTTACTCCTGTTATTAGTGAAGCAACAGCTGGCAAGCAAGCTCATGCTCCCTAAAACCATCAACAACTGACATCCACGACAGGCTCCCTCCAAAATCCAAACAGCAACAGCAAAATTCGTGTGATACAAAGACAGTCTGAGTAGCTGGTAAATCCATGCCCTGACATTAGTGTCTGTCAGAGCATCTCCTCAAAAGCAGCAAGGCTGCCTTGTGACACTGAAAATTAGGCCTGACCATGACTGAAAAGAGGAGATTCAACTGCCTCATGCACCATCAGCTGATGTCCTCAAAGGCTTACATAGCACTCTAGAAACAGATCATCACCCTACAGACAGAAAACAATTTGTCCCGTTATACATAGTGCTGCAAACATGCAACATACTCAAAAAAGTGCTCCATCCCCTGAAATTGCTTTTTAATTCAAACAACCTGGACATTTTAAATTACCACAGCAGGTGCAACAGACAGAAAAAAATATTCCATATTCATTGGTGTCTCTTTCCAAGGATCCTGAGCACAAGCAAGCTGAAAACATCCACTCTGGCTTCAAAGACCTCCTGGCTGTCATAAACAAGCCCAGAAGCACCTACTTGCTGAAGAGTGCCAACCGACTATATGAGGAAAAGACTTACCCGTTACTGCCTGTGAGTTGAACATTTTAACTTAAGAATATTTTGACATTAAGAGGGGTTGTCAACAGAGATGATAAAAATTTTCCAAATGATAGTACTGTGGTTTCAGTGAGAACATAAGGACAGCCACATAGGGCTAGCCCTCCACAGACACGAGGCACAAGAGGAAATGTATGGGAACAAGACACGCTGTGTAATGATGCTTCTCCAGAATCTGCTCTGGTCGCCAACCTATCTGCAGCTCAGGGACTTCCTGAACCAGAGGACATGTCTACTTAATAGACCTTGATGAGCTGTTTTTCATGAATTTGCAGACTTGCCCTTTGAATTTACCAACCCTCAGGACCAGGAGTTCCACAGCTGAACTACACTGTAGGAAGCGCCTGTGTTTTTTGAGCCTGCTACCTGTTGGCATCATTATTGGTTTGTTTTTTCTCTAAAGGACACTTCTCCATACCTCTGGTCATCCTTGTCCCCTGTCTCTATCTTTTATACTCTAGCATTTCTGAGACTGAGGAGGCCAGAGCTGCATAGAACTCAAACAATGGGCACACCATAGCTTTACACAGTGGAATTCTAATATTCTTTCTCTTGTTCCCTACTCCTTTCCCGGTAACTCTTAAAATTGTGTTTGCCTCTTTAGCCACTATTGGGCAGACTTTTTTCATGCAGCTGTCCATTATAGCTTTAACACCTCATTCCTGAACAGTAATAATCACTTTCTGTAGTGTACTCTTCACTGGATCGTTTATAAATGTTTTAATATATGTATTTTAATATAAATATTTAGACATGTATTTTATAGAATAAATATTTTAGCACAGATCCCAGCACATATCCCTGTGATAGTCCACGAGTAATAACCCTTCACTGTGAACACTATTTTCTCCTACTCTTGGTTTCCAGTTGTTTATACAAACAAGATGTACCCCTGTAGTCGGATGCTCAGCCTTTGTTGAGAAGTCTTATGAAATGCCTTTCGGTAATCCAAATAGACTGTAATGGCTCAACCTTCTTACTCACACACTTCCTGACACCTTCAAAAAACTCCAACAGATTTGTGATTTAGGAATCCCTATTACAAAATGCTGTTGACACTCCTCCAACACGTCATGTTTATCCATACGCCCACTAGACCTATTCTACTCATTTGCCCCGTACAGACTCATGAGTTTGTAATTACCTGTATCTTTCAAATCTTTTTAAAAACTGACATTGTATTAATCATCTTACAGTTTCTTGGAAGGTGGTTTTAAATGAGATTACTGTTCTTTGATCTTGGAGTTTGTTTTGATCTCCTGAGTAATTAGTAATTTGTCCTTCTGAATGCTTATTGCTCATTTTCTCCATAATCTCTACCTATACTTTACAGAGAATCTAGAGAATTTCCACAAACTGTTTCACAGCAGACAGCAATGCAAATGTTAATTCTGCTTTTCTACGTTACTTTATCCTACCCAAACATTAATTTTATACATGATCCTCTATTGTCCTTACAAACTCTTGGCAGGTTCCTCGCCTCTGAAGCAAACTAAAAGCCTTTTTTCAACTTCATATGATACTATTCTTCCCTCTTGTACTGAAGTCTACATCATAAAGCAGGAAAAAAGTATTTAAAAGATATAAAATGTCATTTTGAGAAACTGAAAAGAATGTGAAGAATGTTTGTTTCATGGGATATTTCAAAATTACAAATTTGCACTTTGGATTTCAAACACAAAAATATGAAGTATCAGTTTCCTTGAGACTGAAGTTTGATCTGTCCTTAACAGTTAGCACAGAATGTATCAGACCTTATTTTAAGGGTTATCCCATTTCAAACAAATTATATTTTCTTCAATTATGTATTAGCAGATTGTATAATCTGCTGAAGTGATTATTTCTAACATTTTCATAACTTAACTAAATAAGCATATACATTTTACAATTCTATCTTTCAGAAATACTTACAGCTCATTACAAGCTATTACAATGCAAAGCCACAAGCTGTAGACTTTAAAACAGCTGCAGAACAAGCCAGAACGCTGATCAATTCATGGGTTGAAAATGAAACTGAGAGTAAGTACCAGTCTCATGGCTTTTTTCTTCTCTCACTTTCAAATCATTTGTATTTCCACATTTATTGCTCTTGCAGCCAAGGATCCACAAAAGATAGAAACTTAGGGGAGGTGATGGGAAAAATGCAGTTAAACGGCTTGAAGAATGCCCCTCTCCAAACCCAAATGCTGCTCCTTACAAGGTCCTTCCCTTGATTCTTCATGCTGTAGCCTGTTTTTAATTATTTCTGTTAAGAGGGAGGCACAGGTAGATATTGAGTGGCTCCACTCTTATTAGTGAGGGTTTTATTACCAAAATTGCAATAAATATATTAAAAAAAATAGAGCTAACTCAGAAGCCATTTTTACCATATATATCATGGTAAATCACCATTACCATATTTATCATATATATTTTACCATGAAAAATGTACAGTAAAAAAATATCCCAAGTGCAAACATTTTTGCTAGATAGATAGGCACAAAGAAGGCACAATTAAAATTGGTGAGTTACACAGTCACGCTGGAATAACAGTCCTATTTGTCTGATTTTGAAGGGAAAATACAGGATCTGCTGCCTGCAGGATCTCTCAATTCTCACACTGTATTGGTCTTAGTAAATGCCATTTATTTCAAAGGAAATTGGGATAAGAAATTTCTGGAGAAAAATACTTCTGAGATGCCTTTCAGAGTGAGCAAGGTAAATTCCCTGTTTGTATGTCTGTTATCACATGTCAATATGTGTATTACTGAAGAGCAAAAAACCTCTAAATATGTCACCTGCATTTTGTATGCCACTGCAACACTACTCATAGCTAGGCACATCGTATAAACTCACTGAGAACACCAATTGTAAAAATAAGTCAGCGTTACCTTACTTACACATATCCATGAGAATATGATCTTCACTTTAATTAATAGCTCTTCAGTATCAAAACACTTGGGAACATCGTGGTTAAGTAGCTTAAGGACAAGAGGAAATTTCCGTAAGGACCAATGTCCCATTTTCAAAAGGGACTGAGTTGCTTTCAAGAGCAATGCTTACACGCCTATGTCTCTCTTCTGCTTCTGAGACACAGTCTATACTCCGAGTTCAAGAAAACTGAACCATCTGTTCTTTCCTCACGCACTGTAAAACCTCAGAGGGAATTTTCTTTTTCTCACTCCTCTCTCCCAGTTGCTGTTGTGCAAAGGAATGTGCAGCAGTTTTTACCCTCTCTTAAATATGTTACCAGAGAGGTGCTACCAACATCACTGACTGGCTCAGCTTTCACCAGTGGCGGGTTGATCTTGGAGCTGGCTGGAACTGGCTCTGCCTGACATGGGGGCAGCTTCTCCTCACAGAACTCATCCCTCCAGCCCTCCCGCTACCAAAACCTTGCCACATAAACCCAAAATACTGGTGCACAGAGAGGGTTTAATTTACAGGGTACCTGATATGAAGCCTACGAACATATAAACTTTTGCACTCAAATGTAACTCACATGTAAAGGATAGTGGACATATTAGTAAAAGCTCTGTGAACGTAATACAGCATAGGAGTTCAGAAGGCTCTTGGGTAATCCAATTTCATTTGCTAATCCAGTCCTCTATGGTTTGGGGAAGAGGAAAAGCCAGCACAGGTCACAGAAAATATGGTTCAAAGGCAAAGTGAGACAATCAGTATTGCTGGAAGTATAAAACGGGCAAGAGGGTTTATGGCATCCTGGGGAAGAAAGCCAACTTTTTTCCCCCCAGTCAAGGTCCTCACTCTAAAAATATTTGGGAGAAAACATGAAACAGTTGCAGTAGTTACTTGCTTATCAAAGCTAACTTCTTTGTTTTAAATTAAGAAATATACTACATGTGATTCAGTTAGCAGGTAGATACCGTATGTGTCTATGATGATTTTTTGTGAAGATCCCAATGACTTTGAAAAGTCATTCTTTCACCAAAAGCACTTTCACCAAGCACTGGAACAGGCTGCCCAGGGAAGTGGTTGAGTCACCATCCCTGGAGGTATTTAAAAGATGTGTAGATGTGGCACTTAAGGACATGGTTTAGTGGTGGACTCGGTGATCTTAAAGGTGAGTTCCAACCTAAATGATTCTATGAAAATGGGGTGTATGTGATACTGTCCAAAGGAAAGGGTACTGAGTATGCAAATGCTGCCGAGTCTTGTACTTGTTTCCAAATTTTTGCTTTCAGTTCAATGAAGCAAGTAATCTTTATCATCCGTTTTAAGGAATGAAGTAACACTATTTTTTATGTCTGATTTTTTTCACAGACCAAGACTAAACCAGTACAGATGATGTTTCTGAGAGATACATTTTTGATACTCCATGAACCAACCATGAAATTCAAAATCATTGAGCTGCCATATGTAGAAAATGAACTCAGCATGTTCGTTCTCCTACCAGATGACATCAGTGATAACACTACTGGTCTGGAGCTGGTAAAACTGACCTACTGTTCCATGACATATGCTATGAGACAGTAACAGAAACAGATGAAGAGTGAGGAAGAATGAGTTTCAAAATCACAGTAGAATAGGTTCTGATGTGTGTATACTTTGTTTCATGAACTATAACACCATGATTTCTCAGCTTAGGATTCAGGGCATCTGACAACATTGCAAACGTACTATTTTACTTAGGGATATGCCTAAAAAGTATGTCCGTGCAATTGTCTTAGCCAGTTCTGTGTCCCTTTTTCTATTGGTAGAATAGCACAAGAAAAGCAATGACCAAATCTGAATCACCATGCCCTAGAGTTATCTTCTTCTGAGGGCTGTATTAATTCATTTTTATGTCATTTGAAGTCTGGATGTGCACCTGATATTTTTGTGGTAAGGTTTTGTCGTGGTTTAGCGCCAGACGGCAACTAAGCACCACACAGCCGCTCGCTCACTCACCCTTCCCCCAGTGGGACAGGGGAGAGAATTGGGAAAAAAATCATGAGTTGAGATAAAAACAGTTTAATAGGACAGCAAGAGAGAAGGAAACAACAATAATACTACCGACAAAGGAATGTACAAGAACAAGTGATACCCAATACAGCAATTGCTCACCACCCAGTGATCGATAACCCGTCCCTAAGCAGTGATTCCTGCCCCCTGGCTAACTCCAGTTTATGTACTGGGCATGATGTTGTATGGTAGGGAATATCTCTTTGGCCAGCCTGGGTCAGCTGTCCTGGCTGTGTCCCCTCCCAGCTTCCCGTGCACCCCCAGCTTTCTTGCTGGCAGGCCAGCATGAGAAGCTGGACTGTCCTTGACTGCTTAGCAACAGCTCAAAACATCAGCTCATTATCAACATTTTCTCATCCCAAATCCAAAACACAGCCTCACACTAGCTTCTGTGAAGAAAACCAACTCTTCCTAGCTGAAAACAGGACACGTTTCTCAAAAGTAAGTGCTGACTACTCTGACCCAGAAAGTATCAACAACCACTTATGACCATGCCAGGATCAGTTTCAGATTCTAAACAGATCAGGGCAAGCATCTTTTTATCTGTACCTGAGGTCCCATCCATTCCACTTATTTACCACTACTAAGACAAAAGTCATCCATATACACACACAGCAAGTGCCTATCAATATCATTCTGAGTCATACATTGCAAAAAAGCAATATTCTTCACACCAGAAAAAAAATCATTAACTAGTCTAACAGTCCAGGCCTATTACCTCAGAACCTTTAAGGAAACAGAGTTTAAGTCACTGACAGTCTGATGTCACTCATTCCAGGTTGAAAGAGAGCTGACCTATGAGAAACTGGATGAATGGACCAAATCAGCCAGCATGATGAAAGCTGAAGTTGATCTGTACCTGCCCAAGTTGAAGCTGGAAGAGAATTATGACCTTAAATCCACTTTGACCAGCATGGGGATACAAAATGCTTTTGACCCTGTTCAGGCTGATTTCACAGGGATGTCAGCTAAGAAGGATCTTCTCATCTCAAAAGTTATTCACAAAGCTTTTGTGGAAGTCAGCGAAGAAGGTACTGAGGCAGCAGCTGCCACAGGTGTCCTGGTACTGAGATCAAAAGCACCAACAATGACTTTTAAAGCTGACCACCCTTTCCTCTTCTTCATCAAACACAACAAATCCCAAACCATCCTCTTCTTTGGCAGACTCTGCTCACCCTAGTCAGAGTTACTCCTTGCCCTGAAGAGCAGGAGACACTCACTTGCTAGCTCAGAGGCGAATACAGAAACCTGAAACTCCTGCTACAACTGGGGGGAGTAGGACCTGAACCCTTTCTCCATCAGACCACACAGCCCAGGGCCTGAGGACCAGCTCCCCCTGTGTTTGTCTCCTACCCCAAAGGACAACCATGGCAGTGGGGAGTCCACAATGGCTTGCAACCACAGAGCAATCCTTGTTGCCATTCAGACCAGGCTATCAAGGGTAGCTCTGTCCCCTAACCACTATTAGCTATGGCATTTCTAGCACTGACTTTCAGAGTGATGTGTACAAATATATGCTAAGAGGCCCTTTCCTCACCCTCATGACTAGAGCCCCTGATTCAGATGCGGTCTTAGCACTTGCTCCCACACCACAGCAGTTAGACCCTTCTCCTGTTTAGCCCTTGATTAGGTCCTTGCATTACAAAAGGTGGCAAGCCCTCCCCACCCAAGGCCTGCGGCCATTCCCTTGGCTGCCTTCCACATCCCAGCAGTAAGGCTTCAATCAGCTCCCAATTTCACCTCAATTGGCTTCACATGTTACTCTAATGATTCCTTAAAAAAAATTAAAAAGTAACGCCTCTGTGAAAGCTGTTTTCCCACTCAGACCCGCAGGTATGTGAGAAGGGCCACGTACGGTCTCTGGCTACGGCAACACATCACTTTTGGTCTAAACGACCCCTGCTTCAAACATAAATAAATAAATAGTTTGTCATGGACTGGTGTTTTCTGTCAGCTCTGCCACGAGAGGGAAGCAGAGGTGGACAATCGCCGGCTGCAGCGATGCGCGACACGCGGATATATAAAAGAGGGAGTGAAGGGAACCGCTAGGTACCTCCGCAGTGGTGGTAGGCGGCGGCCATTTTGTCCAGGGGGTGGGAGGGAGGCGGGCGGGCGGCGACAGCGCATCCCTGCTGCGACGGCCAAATGGCCGTTGGCTGCCGCGGAGGGG